CTAATGCGAAAAACATTTACCCAATCATCTCTCACATTTGAGTGTAAAATGTAGTTAAAAGTTTCAACTTTATCTCAATCAGAAATGTGACTGAGCAAAGCGTTTTACCAATTTAAAAAAATCTTTTTAGACATCAAATATTTTGCCAAAAAAGCATATTACATTATAAATAGCTCATCTTCCTTAGAGAGTTTTAGCATACTAATTAAAGCATAATATTAAGTTAGCTTCGAGCTCTCTTTCTCTCTGCCTTCTCTAGGTAGCACTTGAAAACTCTATAATGCATTGATAACTTTAATAAGTTTAATTATCTCAGTTAATACAGCTTCTGAAACACCTCTGACAAACTGCATAAGCTATAATACGAAAAGAGGGCTAACAGCTTTTGGCCTTCTCACATTATAACGTCATATACCCCATTGATGATGTTATATTAAGTACAGGTATTAAAACTAATATTTATCTAACAAAATTAATATGGTTGTGTAAGCTAATAAAGACAGCGACACACAGACACAGAGTTAGAGAGAGAGGGAGAGAGAGTGAGGGGGAGAGAGAGAGAGGCATTCAATATATTGGAATTGGAATTGAAATGGGGAGTTTGAGAGCTGCGTGGGGTGTTTTTTGGGTTTTTGGGCCTCCAACAAATTGTTTGTCTAACCGACAAATGTAGCACAAAATTTTTGTTACGCACAAATCGAAGGGACGGACGATAAGCCAAATAAATAACGCAGCCAAATGCCTCTGGCTGCCAATGCAACAAAAATGCAGCTGTGTGTGTGGCCGTGTAGTGTGCGTGTGTGTGTGTGTGTGAGTGTGACCAACGTTTAGCAGCGCATTGTACAATAAATCTATTTGCGTGCGAGCTAATCGAAAACACCTGAACTGAAGGCAGCAGAACAACAGGCTCGAAGAGGAGCTGGCAGGAAGAGGAGCAGCAGCAGCAGCAACAGCAGCAGCAGCAGCTTTCTGGCCTGGTCCAAACAAATTGCCATAGACAACAACATATTAATCCAAATTAGCATCAAAGTGATTTAATTGCTTGGAATTTTGGCATTGGCAAACACTTTTCGACTTTTCACCCAACAGCAGAGGCCGAGGCAGCAGCAAGGACATGGCAGGTCGGCAGCCAGGACAACCATTGCCGGCAGCTGGTAGGCAACGTAGTTGGCTTGTAAACATGCCAAGCGTAGGCCTTGCATTTTGTCACCATTTGCCCATCGATCAGGCTAAACAACAAGGCAGACACACACAGGGCAGGCGAGAGAGGTCCTTGCCTGCTTTAAAGTTAACTTTAAAACACTTTGGCCATAAATTTGGCAAACGCTTAAAGCCCTTAACATTTTCTAGGCACGATTTATGTAGCTTTTAGTAATATGAGCGTATATATTACGTGCCACGTAAAGTCCTTCCGTGACACACACACACAGAGAGAGCCACAGCCAGGATAACTCTCAAAACTAATTGAATTGCCTTCGACAGCGAATGGAAATTAATAGGCGCACATCAAAACCAAAAAAAATAGAAGAGAAAAAGCAACGCCCACAGCTGTAGCCCATAACTGATACGAAATTAAAGGCTCAGCTAAAATACCAAACACACACACACATGGAGCGGGTGAAGGAGTTGAGTCCGTTTCTAAAGTGAAGCCAACTGTGCGGCTCATGGGGCAATATTTATTGAGTACGTGATCTTTGACAAATCCCTTTTCATTTCCTGACTTTTTGCCTCATGTGAAACATTTTGAATTTTTTATTGCTGGCACGCTGGTCAGCTGGGCACGCCCACTGTGCGCCCACTTTGGCCAACTGGCTGTGGCTCGTTTGGCATGCAAAAGGCGGCCAGCAAAAGTGCCTTATTAAAATTTTGTCAACTTGCGACTTCAGTTTCTGCTTCTGCTTCTTCTTCGACTTCGACTTGGACTTCTTTTTCTTAGCTTTTCTTCTTTTATTACTTTTTCACACTTTGGGCTCCCCTGACATTGTGGCTTATACATTTATAAAATGTCACAAATGCTTGAAGTTTATCCTGCTGCTGCTGCTGCTGCTGCTACTGCAAACTGTTATATACTCGCACATGCAACTGTTATATGCATTAGTATCGAGTACTTTTGTAAAATGTGTCAAATGTGTTTGAAATTCATTTTTAGCTTTAAGCTTTGTCATAGATAAATGTTGAGCTTGCATTTAGCCATAAAAATTAGACGGAAAATTTAATTGTATCCATGTTCGAATATATTCGCACTGCACTTTTGCTTGTTTTTTATACCCTAAATATTTTTTTGTTATTTAAAACGTGTAGTCAAATTCTATTCAAATAATCGAAATTGCGATGGAGTTGTAAAGTTTTAGTATTGTCAAAGGTGTGCAGGTTCGAGTCTTTCTTTATTCTTTTCTTAATTCCATTTGCATTTTCAAAATGAAAAATATTCTAATTTTGTCTTTCTCATATCGCTTGCTTAATACTTTTTGACTCTTAACCAAATTTATTTTATTTACAATTAGGCTTAGACAAAAAATAAAGCAACATTGAAAGCTGTCGACTAAATTCAATTCTAGTCTATTTAAATTATTATATAAATCAGATTCTGTGGAATTCTTCTTAAGTAGACAGTTCTTTTGAAGAGAACCTTAAGTTTTCAACTGATATAACTCATATATAAAATATGCTGTTAATAGCAATTAAAAGTAATTAACAAAAGTAATTAACAACAATAACTGGCAGTTCTGCCTATCGAATGCCTACTGTAAATAGCTTATCATTTTCATAGAGCTATAGAAGCTTAAGTTGAATTATCAGAGGCATTAAATGTGTGCTGTCAAGGTAGAGTTAGGTAGCCTGTCAATGAGGTCAAGCAAGAGAGATAGAGATATAGTGAGAGGAATGGGAGAGAGAGGGGGACAGACAGAGTTGGAGTAGAGTCGAGCACTTTAGCTGCTACACAGAACAATGGCATGCCAAAGACAATAAAATTGACTGCCACAACAAACATATATAGCAACAACTAAACACGCACACACACACACACACACACACATGCAGCACACTTGTTGGTTTTTCATTGACGCACTTTGGTTGCAAAACTTTTTAGCGTGCCCAAGTGACAAAACGGCGACTGTGATTGCAAGAGGCGGGCCAGAGCATGGTTATGGAGTGTTTAAGTGGAGTTGAGCGAGGGAGAGAGACGGCAGCGGCAGCTGAAAAGTATGCTACAAAACGCGCATAATGAAGCTGCTCATAAACGAGAAACGACTTTGTTATGGGGGCGATTGCTGTTGCATGAAATGTTAACTCGCACATACACACACACACACACACACGCACACATAAAGCTCTATTGTCATTGTTTGTTGCATATAAAAAACACTTAAAATGCCGTTAAGTTAAAATAATAAAGTTAAGCTGCCGTCGGGCCCAACAAAATCTAATGTGACAATGGCTAACGGGGCAGCTGAGCAGGCGAGTGGGTGTGGCACGCAGTGAAAAACCCCGTTGCACAATTGCTGACATATTTCAATGTGCAACAACAAAAGACAAGGAAGACACAACCAAAGCCACAAAAAACTAAACCGAAAAACGTAAAACAAACGACAAACGTAATGTGGACAACAACAGAGTTAGGTGAGGTGTAGTCCTTATGAGACTAGCAGATACCCTTAGATGAAAGAATGTAGATAGCTAAAAAGCCTAAAGGATAGACATACTGAGAGCAGATCATAGATTAATGCTTGATATATATACTTAAAAACTGCATTTTGAGGCTTGACTAAAGTTTTCTTTTTGTGTAAAACGCATCTAAAAATCAAATAACCAAATGAAATGATTTGCTGTATGGTATAATACATAGATATATATATATTTAATATATAATATATAGAATACAGGTATATAAATATATAAATTCTTGAACAATGTTTGCATTAGATGTTATTGGTTGATGGTACTTGAGTACGATGGAATTAAAGGAAATTTTTTAAGATTTATTCTTATTTTAAGAACCACGTTAAGACATAAAAATATTGTGAAAATTATTTTTATATATTTTTATTATTAATTTTTAATATTTTTCATTTATTCCTGTTTATTTTTATTTATTATTTTTTATTTTTATTTTTATTTTGTATGCTTCAAGCTGGTGCTATGATTAGCATATCTGGATTAAAAATAATTTAATCAGATTTGGATTTCCAATTTTTGTATGAAATATGGTTGCCTAATTAAGAATTATTAAGAATTAAGATATCATTGTAATTAATTCTAAAGAAAACATGTAGCTTTAGTAGCTCGCCAGCTTGTTACAAACTTCTAAACAGAACCGAAATACCCAGCCCGAAATAGATTTTCAATGGGTTTTAGGACATAAAAACGCAAATGTTGGGCATATTTTGCATTGTTAGCGGCATAAAATCGCACACACTCACGCACTCTCAAGCAGCTACACACACACACACGCTCACACACACCTAAACACATGCAGGCACACACCTGAAAGGCTGGAAACACCTGAGTCTTTGGTGTCTTTTGTTTTCAATTGTTTTGTAGTTTAGATTGAGGCGCTCGCAACTCGTTAAAGTCCATGCCCAGGCAGTGTGTGCATATGTGCGTGTGTGTGTGTGTGTGTATTGTATTGGTATTAGTGCATGTCCTTTTGTGTCAACAATAAACGCGAAGTCGTACGCGTTTTGTGGAATGGCGTGCGAATTATTGCACCAGGAAGATATGAAATAAAATTTAATGAAATGTTTATAAAATGAAAATGAGTTGCATGAGACGATAAAAAAGGGTCGAAGAAGACGAAGAAGAACACAAATGGAGACATTTAATGTGGCCAGTTGAAAACTTTAAAGATTTAACAAATATAAACACAGAGACAACATTGAACAGCTAGAAAATGGCTAAAAACGGCTAAATTAGACATTGAAGCATGCTTGAAAATCGTTATACAAACTTGGCTTGATCGCGCCACGCCCAACGGCCCGCCCCACATCATGCATACTTACTAACACTGAGCGGCAATAGAGCGCTCTGCAAGTGGCTAAAGATCTGCCGATGATGATGATGATGATGGCCCAGGCCATTGAAGTACAGGTGGTTCTGGTGCAGCGACAGCTGCTGGTGGTGGTGGTGATGATGGTGGTGGTGGTGCAGAGCGGGCGTCAAGCTCATGTGTTGCTGTTGCTGCTGCTGCTGCTGTTGTAGATGTTGCTGCTGATGGGGCAGCAGTTGCTGTTGATGTTGCTGCTGTTGATGTTGCTGCTGCTGATGTTGCTGCTGCTGATGTTGCAACATGAGCTGTTGCTGTTGCTGCTGCTGCTGATGTTGTTGATGTTGCTGCAACTGTTGCTGTTGCTGCTGCTGCTGCTGCATATGTTGCTGTTGGCCATAATTTGCAGTTGCTGCTGCCGTCGGCTGTAAGGCGGCTGCTGCTGCTGGCGTGGGCAGCGCTACTGCTACAGCAGCGGTTGCTGCTGCCGTTGCGGTTGCCGCCGCTGCTGTTGCTGTCGCGGCTGTGGCTGCGTTCGCTGCCGCTGCTGCTGCTGCTGCCGTCGCCGTGGCCGTTGCCGTGGCTAAAATATGATGATGCGTGGTTGATGAGCGTTGTAGATGCTGACTTTGTACTGTATTCAAGCTATGTATGGAGGCGTGCACCGCCGATTGATAGATAATACCGTTATTCGACATCGCCGTCAGCGATTGATGGTGTGCGTGGGCGTAGGCCATAGTCGAGCTCGGCTGCACGGCAGCAGCAGCCGCTGTGGGCGTGACTGGCGCCAATGGCAAAGCGCGATAACCAGCCATAAATATCGCTATAGATATAGATATATATATATCTAGATTTGCACTTGATTAACGCTTTTAAAGTCTTTCCTTTTCACTTCACTTGTTTGGCATCTGCGCGCCTTGCAATCTAATTGTTAACTAATGCGTTCGCTTCGCCGCTTTAAGTTATTTCCTGCAAATTCAAATCTTAACGAATTTGAATATATATATAGATATATATATACATATATATTTTCTCAGTAATATATTTTTTGTTGAGATTTTGGGCTTAGTTCTTGAGTTGAGATAATGTCACTGATAAGTAACATATTCCCGTTTGCCTTATCTTGACACACGCGACACAACACAGACAAAAATTTAATTTTCTTTGCACAACAGCAACTGTTGCCGGCGTGTAGAGACATACAATAAATACATATATATGCTATATATAATACTTATAATAATTTCCACATTTATGATCTGGGAGTTCTCTGCGCTTATCTCACTATAAATGTTTACCTTACATGACAGTTAGATAAAACTTTTCAAATGGCCTTGAACTAAAGTTCAACTCACGTTTTGTTGTCCACATTTTCAACAACAAAAACAACAACCAGAAAAATCTACGCATCTCACGTTTATTTGCTTCATCATGTAAAGCTGTCAACTGACAGCATGTGATTAAAGTAAGTCGAGATAATGTGGAATATAGCTCATATATATAGATATATATATTTATTTTATATTTATACCTAACATATAACTAGAGTTTACTTTACTAGATTTGCCTTAGACCTATGTATTTTGGCTTACAAATTGGTAATTCCTTCTCCACATATCTTATTTCAAAATACTCATCACGAAATGATAGCAGAGCATATAGGTTTTATGCAATATAAAAAGGCCTCTACCTACGTCTGTCCTTGCTATGCACATGATTTCGTCTCAATTGTGACTAGAAATATTTGATAATATTTGTATTTTATACTTGCTTTAGACATACTTTCTTCTACTCTTGACTTCTTCTTATAAAGTGCTAAACTTTTTATCATATATCAACTGCAGGGTTTCAGTTCGAGATATACATTATATTTTTCCAAACATAAACCGCTTTACTTTCCCTTATATTTCAAGTAAGTTAATATATACAACTGCCATGTTCAAATTTCTATATTTATGGCTTTGTGGTAAATCGATATATAAATATAAATATAAATAAATAAATATAAAATATTTCACAGTGTTAAAGCTATGCTCATCAAATTTTGCAGTTTTTGCACTATTAATCAGCTCTAAGAATAGACCTTTTGATTTAATAATAAGACTACTGGAAGTTCAACAAGATTTTCAAAAATTTAGTTGCTTTCTTAACGCGAACGAGTATTATACAGACGACTGCAACTATCTTATTTGTTTTGTCTATTGTTTTTCCTTGATTCGCAACATTTTTATACAAAGTCTTTGATTTCACTCTTATCACAATGTTTTTTATAATATATTGTCACTAAGCACTTCAATTTCATTTCTATAACGCATATATGTAGTCTTGAAGTAAGTAAGTATAATTCTTCAGGTGTGATCTTTAATTTAAAATTGTTCAGCACTTTTCTAGTAAAAGCCTTAATTCTATAATTATTTTATGATTTATTTTATAAATATTATTTGGTGTATGCTCTTCCTTATATTCTACAAATAATTTAAATATACAATTTATAAAAAACAGCTTGATATTAAAATATTTTTTTCAAACTTTTTTCAAAGCTTTTTATATTTCTAAATATATTTTTTATAAATGTAAAAAAAAACATTTTTTCAATAATTTATAAATAATATAAATAATTTTAAGTAAAATAGTTTAAATGATATCCATATACTTAGAAGATACACTTTTAAAGACCAAATTTCTTATCAGTATTTATGTCCTATAAGAAATAGCTATGAAAAAAATAGTTTTCCATATACATTCCAACATTAAAGACAAACAATTAACAATGAAATATTGAAACTTAAGTGAATGAAATTTTTTTTGTCTTACATAAAAATCTTTTTGTGGAAGTCTAAATTGATAATTCTAATAATTTTTTCGAGATTTCTTAGCTTTGTTTTCAGTTGCTCGTAAACTTACGGAAATTTTAATCATTCCTATAAAAAATTTCTAGATGCCTTAAACATAACCGAACTTTCTGTACAGATCTTTTTCTGACAAATATAATAAGTTTTTGCTTAGTCACTTTACTTAAATACATTTTGTCACTTTTAACAAGTTAATTAAATTAAAATTAAGATACATAGTTTGTGTTTTATGTTAACAGTTAAATTGTAGAATACGAACTTTAAGTTAAGTCACAGAAATCGTAGTTATTCAATATTCAGGTGAAGTCTTGAAATTCAAACCCAGTTAACAACAAATATAAAGTTAGACACAGAAACACATAGAAACACATATAGTTAACACTTAAGGAAACTTATCTATATATTTATATTTATATATTGGAAAACATCGATAACAACATCAATATAAGATTAATATATAGTTTAATAACAACATCAATTGAATTACATTTAATTACATTCAAATTGGAAAGGTGGGGGAAAGTAAATTGTGGTATTCAAAAATAAGCAGAAAACACCAATTACAGTGGGCAACATTGAAACAAGAACGTAAATAAATAAACGAGAGGTGGAAATTACAGGTTAACACACACATACACACAGATATAGAGACACATATGCAGAGAGTTAAACAAATTATATAAACAAACGTGGGAACCTGAATGGCTGCTGAGCCAAGGATCAGCATCAGCATCAGCAGCTGTTGGTTTGCTGGCTGTTGATATTGACAATAATAAATATTGGCATATTGCTGCTGGTGCGAGCACGCGGCACGCGATACGCAAGAGTACGTAAGACGTAACGTAACGACGGCGACAACTACGTTGCGTTTATCGTTTCACGTTGCGCGACAAGACACGAGCCACGTCCGATACGTTTGCCCAAGGTCTGCAAACTGAATGCCAGCAGCAGCGACAACGGCAACGGCAGCAGCAGCGTCCGTGAAGCCTCAGCCTCGGCACGACAACAACTTCGGCTCGACACGAAGCTTAAGGCATTCGGCAGCTGTTGTGCATTCAGCTAGGATTCGTCGGTTTGGCTACCAACAGCAGCCAATGCGTGCGAGCGAGATGCACGTACATGAATGTAAATGTGTGAGAGAGAGTGTGAGGGCGTGTGAGTGAGCGAGAGTGTGAGCGTTTGCCTGTGTGTGAGTGTAAGCACAGTGGTGCTCAAGTTGAGCATTAGGCAGGCAGCGTTTCGTATACGTTAGGTTTGGCTGGCTGTGCCAACAATTAGCCTAATTCCAGCTTAACGCTGTGTGGGTTGGTCGAGCAGCACCTACACACATGCACGCACACACAGACACATTCCTATACACCCACACACACAGTAGAGCTGTTACATTTCTATTGCACAACAATAACTGTGACAGCAGTTAGGGGTTGTTTCCGGCTGCGTTAGAGGAACCCAGCACCTAGCCAGGATCCTGCGCACTGCCTAAACGAGTGGTGCCTACCCCAAACAAAAAGAAAAGCGAAACAGAAAAAGAAAACAAGAATATAAAAACAAATGCAATGCTATATGCTGCACGTGGCCGGCATGCAGCCAGCCAAAATGACAGTTTGGGCCGACGGGGGGAGGCTCCTGTTTTTCGGACTCATCCAGCAACGACAGGCAAAAGGCCTCCATTCAAAACTTTTGTTTGCCCAAGTGGAATTTTTAATCAAATGTTGTGCCGAGCGAGACGCCAACGCGCAAATATGTGGCACGCACATATTGCACATACGCCAGGTGCCAGGTGCCATGTGCCAGGTACAGCGGACTTAACACACATTTTAATTAATAAAATAATTAATATTATTATTATATATAGTACAAATATTTTGATTGATTTATTAAACAAAATATGTCAAGGGGTTGTTAGAGCATTATGGATAGATAAATTAGTTAAGAACTTGGCAGAGTGAAAGCTATTTATGCATAAGACATAATCTGCAGAGTAGTATCTCAACTATATACAAATCTGTCCAAATGTTCAACATAATAAAAATCAAAGACCTCGAGTCTATAGCATTGAGAGGCTTTGGAAATAAAAAGATCAGCTCCTTCAATTCAATACAAAACTTATGAGGCTCTTCTAAGAATGAAGGACTTGTAAAAATTCATTAAACACGCAAACGAACTAAAGAATATTAAATGCATTATAAGCACTTAAAGGATACGTAATGCTACAGCATTAATCTATGCAAAGATAACACCTTGATCCTTAGAGAGCTCCAGAATAATTTAATTTTGATTGATACAGTTAGGCTTTATAATATAAGCACACCAAGGATTTGGCTCAGTTGAAGCTAATTTTCTAAATCAGGACATTTTTTCCATAGCCATAACTCAGTTATATATTTGAGCTTAGCTAAAATACCTGGCTCACAGATAGATTCAGAACGTAAGCAGAAAGAAGCGAAATACAAATTTCGTTGCATACCCCACAGGGGCAACCATCGGCGTTCGTTGGGTAACGAAATTTGAATTGAAAATCGGCTGAATGCGAATAGAAATCGCAGCAAGCAGACAAAAAAAATTAAAATTAAAAAAATTGTATTGCTAACAACGTTATTATCACATTGTAATAATTCAAGTATCCAACCATTTAGCAACATCAGATATCTTTGAATATATCCTTGTTTGTCAAGCCTTTTTCATGCAGGTAATTTAGTTCTTTCTTAATAACATTCTAGTATGATAATAAATGATGATGAGTGAAAGCGGAAAGTATATCATTTTACTAACCCTATTACCACTATTATACTATAATATGGCTTATAGAAAAAGCTATTACGAAAGAGCCAGTTTACAGATAAATTTAACTAGATAGCTAAATAGATAGAAAGACAGATAAATAGGTAGATCGGTAGATAGACAGATAAATAGAAAGATGTATAGATAGATAGACAGATAGATAGACAGGAAGACAGAAATGCATATAGATAGATGAATAGAGAGAGAGAGAAAGAGATTCTGTATATGCCTCTCTCTCTCTCTCCCTCTCTCTCACTCTCTACACATATCTAACTGTAAATG